CTTGTCCCTTAAGTTCGTATGGTGCTAGTATTGGTGACCGTTTTCTACCAAACGTGACGACTGAGCATTTAACGGGGTTTAGTTCTAATTTATTTAATTGACAGTAGTGATCAAGTCGTGATAAGTCTGATTGAAGCGCCTGCACATCATTTGCCGATGATATTGCAGAATAGATCTTCATATCATCAGCAAAACAGAGCAGATTAGAACTTTGGAAGCAGGAGTCGATGTCATTCACGTAAATCGTAAAAAGCAATGGACCCATTAAGGAACCCTGGGGCACGCCGCTGGGGATAGAAACCCAGCCAGAAATATAATTACTGACAACTACAGCCTGAGTCCGATTTTCAAGATAAGAGGAAAACCACCGAAGTAAGTCCCCCCTTATGCCACTGTTAAACAATTTTATTTTCAGTATGCTGTGATCTATTTTATCGAACGCTTTGCTATAGTCAGTATAAATAACATCGACCTGAGCACCATCATCCATGCCCTGCGTTACATAATCATTCAGTAGTACCAAGTTTGAAACGGTTGAACGTCCTCTTAAAAAACCGTGTTGTGATGGATTAAAAGTATTTTTAAGCGCCGCGTACACTTGATCGTAAACAACCTTTTCAAAGACTTTTGCCAAAACACATAATTTGGAAATGGGTCTATAATTAACAATTTCAGTTTTTGGCCCTTTCTTGTGCACGGGTGTAACAAACGCAGACTTCCAAATCCGAGGAACAGCACAAATAGTAAGTGATTTCTTAAATAACAGCGATATCGGCAAAGCTACAGTTTTAGCACATTTTATTATAAATTTAGGTGATAGGTAATCAGGGCCGGCTGACTTCAATGGGTCAAGGCCACTCAGAATTTTAGTAATATACTCCAAATTAATTTCAATTGAATTAATATCACAAGATGTGTATGATGTACTTGCAGTACAGGTATTCATAGCAGTATCACTAACTGGATCAATGAAAGTGGAATGGAAATGTGAAGAGAACGCATTGCATATTTCATCAGCAGATGAGATCGATACGCCACCATAATTAAAGTAACTAGGTATTGAATTAGATTTAGAGCGTTGCTTTACAAAACTCCAAAAATACTTAGGATTCCTTTCAATAGATTCTTCAGTGGCAGCTAGGTAATTAGAGTAGCAGTCAGCCTCAAGTTTCTTCACCCTATCACGTAAAAGCCTAAACGTAGCCTGGTCAGAAAGTCTGCCATATATCTTAAATCTACGTAGGTATTTCGATTTTTCTTTTATTAGTCGTTTAAGTGAAGAGGAGTACCAAATCGGATAAGAATTATAATATATATTCTTGCTAGGAACATATTTATTTTGAATATAAGCTAACGTATTATAAAAATAGGTCACACATTCGTCGAGCGTCATATTCATAAACACGGTATCCCAATCCACAGCCGACAATTCTCTATTTATCGAAATAAAATCACCCTTCTCATAAGTATACCGGGTGTACGACGCAGGAATCAAACGTGTGTACTCCGCGGAGTTCAAATTAATTAAAAGAGCGGGGTGATATTTATCGACAGCTACCAAGGGCACAGGACATTCACTCACCGACACACAATCATTACACAAAACCAGGTCCAAAGTCTTCCCGAAGTTGTTTAATATACCATTGTACTGTCTCAGACCTAGAATACGCATCTCATCCGTTAACATATGCTCGTCACTGCTACATATGTTTACAGGTTGCAAAACATTGTCCGTTAATTGCCATGAAATGCCACTTAAGTTGAAATCACCTATGATTAAAAATTTATCATCTGAGTTATTTAACATTGTACTATTCAATTTGTTAAGAAAATCAGACAATTGTTCCGAAAAAGAGAATCCCTGACTTTCCGCACATAAGTAAATGACACTCACGTTTAGCCTGAAGACCTCCCTTGTACCTGGATAACGTAGGTTCACTGTTACCCATAAATCTTCCGCTGAGGAGTGAAAAGATGGTTGGGGCATTGCAGATATCTCTTTACGAATAGCTATTAACACCCCACCTCCGCGCGTTTGACCAGTCCGACAATAATTACGATCACGGCGCCACACAATATACTGATCACTAAACAATTCTGAATCCGAGATACTATCCACTAACCAAGTTTCCGTTAACACAATCGCATCATATAAGTTAACACACACTTCCCTATAAAAAACATCAGTCTTGGTACGAAGCCCTCGCACATTCTGGTAGTATATGCGAAGATTCTTAATATTATTCTTAGCCATTAAAAACTTTAGAAGTAATAGCAACTGCCTTAATAACTATATGCAATATGATTCTATGAAAAAATAAAATAAGCGAAGTATATTTTGAATAGTTATTTTTATAAAACTGAGAAGCAGGTAGGCTGCAATAAATATGCAAATACCAAGTAATTGGGTGAGCGAGAAAGCAATGAATTGATTCACATATAAGTGCAAGCAGTGCGAGCAAGAAAAGTAGATTCTGTTTTAAGTTTATATTAGAAATAGTGCAATAACGGATATCTATGACCAGTGAGCGAGAACAGCAGCGACATGTCGAACTTTCGAGATAGGCAGAGATGCTAAACCTTTTACAAATGTTAAACATTTTAGTAATTATTAAACACTTCATATGGCGAATTTTAAAAACAATGACATTATAATTTGAATATTTAACACAATGCAACGAATATTGATTAACGCAGTAGATTAGGATATTTTGTTTAAATCTTTTTCATTGTTTATTACAAGTACATGGTGACCATCAAGCTTACGAACGTGTATTTTCCCGTGTTTAACCCAAATAAATTTATAATTTTTCTCCTTCGCCAATGTCCTAGCCTTGTTGAGTAACTTCTTGGAGGCTGAGTTCAGGTGATCATTTACGTAGACCCTCGTTGCCGGACCCTTCAATCCAAGGTCCTGAGTAGTTAGGTTCTTAACAGCACGTGCAGCCGCAATGAAATCCTCCTTGACATATCTGTTGAGGAAACTCACAACAATAGATTTCTCTTTCGTGTTAAACAATGGTATTCTCGACACATAATTCACTTGAGTTTTCGGGAACGTATAATTAACCTTCTGAGAGATGGTTTCCAAAATAGAAAATAAGTTCTCGTTGTTGCTCGACGGAACACCTTTTATTTCTATATTATTAAGTCTAGACCTCTGGTCGGTTGCAGACAATTCTGATTTGATAGCACTAATATCGTCATGCATGGACTGAACTTTGCTCCTGAGAGCCTCTAGGCAGACAATTCGAGACTCAAAGTTATTCAGTTTAACTGCAAACTCTTCCACTTTGCCGCTATCAAAATCTAGGCTCTTCTTGACCTCGCCGAGTTCCTCTTTCATGGTACGAACGTCTTCATGAAGCATAGCCAGTCCAGAAAGCTGCGCCTTCATCTCCCTAATCTCGTTGAGTAAGGTTCTATTCGAGACAGACTCTGCAGACGCACTGGGAGACTGACTATTATTTCGACAGGTCATACACTTCCACAAAGCTCTTCTTTCAGTTCCCAGTTTTCTCCATCCAGCTTCGGTCATATTAACACAGCCAAAGTCAAAATGTTTCTTACATATCCCACACTGAACTCCGTCATTAAACTCTGCGTTACAAGCCGCACACTTCATGATGAACGAAAAATATGTTCACGACAGAATACACCAAAAGGTTGCTAACCGCTGATCAATCAGATTGCCAGGTGCAGGCGTGCTTATTTAACAATTGCGCGAACGCTACTAATTTATTACTTACTACTTATTCAGCTTAGACGTGAAAGATGGATACTTCGAAAATCCGAGTCATTATTGAATACGAGTTTCGAATGCGGCAGAAACGGCTCTCAATATTGACGCTGCGTTTGGAGAGGAGACAGCTAATGAACGCACTGTACGTTTTTGGTTTAAACGCTTTCGTAATGGAAACTTCGACTTGAATAACGAACCACGTGGAAGACCGCCCTCACAGGTGAATAACGCTGAAGTAAAGGAGATGGTGGAAGTCCATCCGAGTCAAACTACCTAGGAGTTAGTGGCGTGGTTTAACGTTACCCTACCTACAATATTGACTCATTCGCATCAAATCAACAAGATAAAAAATATGAAAAATGGATGCCTCACGTTTTGACTGATCTGCAGGAAGAAATGCGTTTTGAAACTAGTGTTGCCTTGTTGAATAGAGATTGATTGTTGATTATTACAGAAAAGTAGGAATATTGAATGGAATTATGACATATGATGCGAAGTGGATTGTTTATGATAACCGTAATAAAATGCAATGGCTGATCCTTTTTGAATCGATCTTTACCATTATAATAATAATATAATATACTTTATTCAATTTGTTCAATTCATTATTGCTCCATGATAACGCATAACCTCACACTGTACGAGAAATCGTTGTAACTCTACAGGAGCTGCAGTTCGAAACCATACGTCGGCCTCCGTACTCGTCAGACCTTGCTCCAACGGAATACCTTTTTTTTCGTCATTTGGACAATTTTGTACGTGATATAAAAAAAACTTCCAAGGAGACAGTACAAAATGTTTTTATACAGTTTGTCGAATCTAGATCCCCAGAGTTCTATTGTAAAGGCATAAATGAATTTCTGTTTAAATGGCAGCAATGTATAGATAATGTGGGTAAATATTTTGATTAAATAAATATCACAACTTAGAAAAAAACGAGTTTCAAATTTTCAGTACAAATCGGCAATTTCATACTACAATAATCACTCTTTTAATAGTATAATGATGTATGTTATAATAATGTAACCTTGTCTATTTATGTTGTGTAATCTTTAACTGTATTGTAAAATCTATGTATAATACCCTATTTTGCGCAATTAAATATGCATAAATATATCAGAATTAGCATAAACTTTCCATAAAAGGCTAATAAAAACTACCGCACCATGTAACTCAAACTTCTACTTCTATATTCTTACTTATCTATTAAGTTGGATAAATTCCAATAAAAAAATAATATTTTTTATCTATTGTTCAGGTCACTCGGGAAGAATCCTGTGCATGTGCGTGACTCGGGAGTCGCAGTACCTTATAACAGGCTCCGAGGATACGAGTGTTATAGTGTGGGACCTTCACACATTAGCTGTGAAGACTAAAATCTTGTAAGTCAATATTTTGGTACATTTTAAGTTATTATATGTGATGAACGTGTTGATCTAGTAGAACCACTTCGACTCCATAGCTGGATTATTCGTGTAAAATCATATAAAAATTTAAAACCTTCAATAAATTTAAGTCTCTCTTAATTTCCTTTTATTTATATGTCTAAAGTATCACAAAAGTTGAAAATTTAGTAAAAGCTAAGTAAATGTAATGAACAATGATAGATGTATCTTCAATAAATTAGAAGTAATTCATTAGTTTGACTTGGTCTCGTACCTGCGAGACTAAAGACATTAAGTTTATTACACTCGGACCATTACCCCTGTTGTAATAGTAATTAATATAAAATGGTACATTATCTCAAAGCCACAATAAGCCCATGTTCGTAATAGACATTGGGAAGTAGTTGCGCACTATCGAAGATCAGGATCAAACTTGCCCTACTTAGATAATCTTGCAGTGAACGGGAGTTATAAAGTGTATTGAAGTTCATTTAGTATTTATTGTATATGAAATACAAACGATACTTTCAGGTGTAATGTTATGTTATGTGAAAGTGTGAGGTTGTTGAACTAAAACTGTTAAATATTTAATTCTCTACATTCTATCTCTAAGAGTTTTAAAGTGAAATTAAAAGGGTTTTGGGTTTACTTGAATAGCATGATTAAAAGTAGTAATGGTACGATTATAAAAAGAAATGAAATGTAAGGAATATCTTTACTTGATGCTAGTCGTTACTAGTTTTAAACAACCTCATTTGTAATTACTTCGTAGAGAACACATAGCGCCAGTGCTGTGTGTGGCTGCGATCGTGAACAGGTCATTAGTGATCAGCGGGGGAGAGGATTCCGCTGTTATCGTGACATCACTCGTTGATGGCGCACTCGTAAGTACCTACGTGTTGTCCCATTTGTATTAATGTGTGGTTATCATTTTAACTTAACATATAATGAATTTTTCGTAACTTGGCTTTGCCAAATTCAGGAAGGTTAATTGTAATTTAGGTAATTGACATCCGGAAAAAAGGATCGTTGACATTATAAGTTTGTGTATTAGTTCTTCATCGTGTGTTGCAAAAGCAGTTCCTGCAAACAAAAAAAATTAAAAAGATTATCTAAATTCACTCATACCAATATTAACAAAACAAATAGCTGTATCCCTCGACTGCATCAGCGTTTGTAGAAGCGAACAATCAAAACAGATTCAATATTATTAAATATTAACGTAAGCGATATCATACCCGTAATTGAATTAAAACCTTCGTGATTTTTACCATATATATCATCGGTGCTGAGTATTTAAGTTTTAACCTTGGTTTAAGTCCTGATGTTTTGAAAAAAATGTTTTAGTATTGACCTGTCCTTCAAAAAGAACAAACCGAAATTTTCGTTATTTTTTTAATAACGAAACTATATAACAATCTTTGTATTTTATTATGCCTATAGAATCTGCCAACTCACAATCGCAATAACGAAAATTAATAGAAAAATATTTCGTACTAAAAACTCAAAAATCAGGTCTGAACTGATAGCATAAAACTTATGAGAGTAAATAATACTAGAGTATAAGTTAAAATAAAATGTATGTTAACGTACGTATCTAATCATAACCTTTCACAGGTAACAAAACTAGATCATCATAGAGGTTCTGTGACAGGAATTAAAGTAATTCAAGATGGAGAAATTTTAGTTACCTGCTCCCAAGACGGTACAGTTTGTACTTGGAATGTAGATAACTTCACATTGCTAAGCACTGTGTCAGCTGGTGTGCCAATACAAGCTATGGAAGTGACAGACGACAACGTGTTCCTGATTACACTGCAAGGAGAGAATGAGTTGCACATCAGAACTTTCATTACTGGAACGCATCTGCATATTTTGAAGAGGCATAAGAACAGGGTATGTATGTAGAAGGCATCATTTAAAATCTGCTTTAAAAAAAATGATCCTAGCTTAAGGAGTTTTTTGTTTTGTTCCTCTATGAGAAAACCCCAATACAGCCTTCTCTTTAAAATTGGTTACTAGTTATTTATGAAATATGTTATTTGTCGTAATAAAAATAGACAATATTAAAAGTCCAATAGGTATGGGGACCATTAGGTTAATCACTTACTGTAACGGTGGAGGTAAATTGTGAACTAAATGGTAACTCTAAGAATTTTTGAAAAGAAGTTGAAATGATAAGTTGTTTAAGTGTTGTGAAGTCTATCAACTAGGTCAGTATGATAGACTTTTGAAATGGGATATTTGGCCAGCAACAGGCTATTGAGTATCTGTATTTTTTATGGTTCGTATTTACGACGACTGGTGGTATTATATATATTGTATATATATTGTATATATATATATATATTGTAATGGAATTGATATACTTTTACGTTAGTGCCGAAGACCAAATGCTCTTATAAAATGTATAACCTTATGGGTTTTTCTACGGTGCGAACTTTGTTTTGGTGTGATATCCTAAATTAAGACTATTAACTCAAAAGTTTGTTTTCAAACTTATTGTACGCCTTTTATATTATTTTATTATTGTCATTGCTCTGTAGATATAAGAAAATAAAAGACAAACAAATATGTAAACTTTACGTACTATATCAAAGCAAACATTGTGGTTGTTTAAAAAATAAAACAAATGTGAGGGACTAATTAACTTTGCAAACAAACAACTGCCCTATTGTTACTTAAAGCAGGGAAGCCTTTGTTTGAAAGCCCACGGACCCAGCACGTATAATAGAAAACTCCTTTTGAATTAACAGAAGCGTTTATACAGTTTCATAATCTAATGAATACGAAAACAAAGTCTCATGAAGTTGAATTAATTATTAATTCCAACAACTCTGAAGCTCAATACTATAACCAAACCAGAGAGTATAAACGTACTCAGACTATATCTTCCATCTTTCCAATAAAGAATATTTCTTACTTGCAATTCTTTCCTTTTTAATGTTTAAACGTAGCAAAGAGAAAAAGTTTCCACAAAGGACACCCCTGTTGCGTCCCGCAGTAACTTTATCTTTTGAACTTTGTTCAGCAATATGTCCCCATTATCTCTCTGCGAGATACGAGAATATATTTTAATTAGATTGAAAGTGTGTCTTACTAAAGATAAATCTGAAAGCATAGTGTTATCTCGAAAAGTTAGCCCAACTTCTTCTGTAGTAGATAAAGTAACGCATACGCTATTAAAAGTGGCATGCTACTTTATCAATATATTTAAAAAGTACGAGCAAAATATTTTTATGTATTATATTACATAAGGTCGTTTATGCAAATAACGATAGTTGTTGAGTTAACTTAAAAAGTATTTTTAAATAAAATTAGAGATCTCAAATGTTCCTAAAAAGTGGTGCAAAATTAGCCCTTTGGAAAATTAAGCTTTCGAAAAATTGGAAATATTTTTCGAATTTTGCGATATTTAGGTTAGCTCTGTATAAGTTTACAATAATATTTTAATATAATAAGTTTTGGTTTTGATTTCGATCAACTCGATAGTCCGAAATGGTATTTATTGCCAGACGTAAGAATAGAGACTGCAATTGTTTGAAATACAGTGGTGAAAATAGAGGATTTTGATTATAATTTTTCCAAAACGGCAACATTTTTTATCTTTCACCGGCTGTTACCTCTCTAATAGGTATCATTGTGTGCGCGTTTTATTTAAGTTTTCTAATAGGTTTTTTTATATCATATTGCTGACTGCGGATATGATTACATTTATTTTACAGTTGAAGTTAATAGTAGTTACCATTTTGTAATTTCCTGTAGATTAAAACTAGCATAATTCATTTGAAAATTCACTTAATTCAGTTCTCCGGGATGACATTCTGTGCAACATTATTGCCTTATATTTATAAAAGCTCAAGTTTTAGGTAAAACATATTTAGCAAAATAATAGAATCTATATTTATCTTTACAATAAACTTATTCCATTAGTGGCCGCTGCAGGCTTGTTGTTATTTTCTCTGTCTAATTAGTGTTGTATTCTTTTGTTCTGATCGATTTTATTGTAGAGGCTTGTTATTATTAAATATTATCAGTATCCAGAATAGTATTCGATTATTGTTTTTATTCATCACATCACTTTTCTTTTTTAATTTATTTTGCAGGCGAGAACGTTTAATAAAATACATTTAGAATTTAGGTAGAATCAGTCAGCCATTTTGAATAAAATAAATTATATACAGCCGTAACTGCTATTATACCTAATGAGTTTTAAACCTACTTACTTCCATTTGTGCCAAGGAGATCCTTGACATTCTACCCAACATTCGACCGCCGTAATTGAAGATCAGTAAATTGGTTAGGCTTTTATTTCATTCGTTAAAGAAAATAGATTACCACCGATTTCTATTAAGTGCTCTTAGACCCCGTTTTCTCATTACATTAGGTTGAAACGTGCCGCTAACGGGCATTATAACGTTACATTGATATTGAGGTATAGATACTTTTTTTATTTATCGTATATATGGGCCATGTTCTCTTGGAAGTGTAGGATGTAGTTGATGATCTCATGTGAATTTTCAATTAACTTCAATTTTTAACCTACTTAAATAAAAAGTTCAAGGTAAATAAAAGGTTGTATTTTTCTTTTATGTTTGTTACAGTTACTGTTTGTTTAATCAGTTCATAATTAACGAAGTTCTGAGAACTTTGTTAATTATGAACTGATTTAGAAAATCTTTGTGCCACTGCTGAAAATTACAAAATGATTAAGTAATAGAATTAATTACAATTCACCATTATTGATCCACCATTCATGGGAAAATTAAAGTCTGATACGTTTTTTAAACAATAATTATAATGTAATGCTGTAATAACGGCATGTTAACATGCTTTTATTACAGCAACAGCCTGTAGTAGTCCATTGCTGGACAAAGGCATCTCTTTAAGCAGGAGGTTTTGGCCTACTATACCTTACTGACAGGTTGGTAAAAGGTTTATTTCAAGTTTTCCTTCTCCCCTTCCCTTCCCTTCCCTTGCTCCCTTAGTCGGCTTTTACGACACCTACGAGATGAATAGATTTTTTTTGGCGTCATCTATAAATAACTTATTTAAATTTATTTCCAATATAACAAATACCATAAATAAATAATACTATAAATTCATTTCTAGTTGTTGTATCAAAATAAAACTTTATGTGTATGGAGTTTGGTTGCCCATAATTCACAATTTATCAAAACTGATCTCCTGATAGAACCAAGAGTTGATTAGTAGTAGAACTATTAAGTAATTAATAGTAAACCCCTCTAGTTTGGCGCCATATGGTCCCCGTTGATGAGTCTAACAGATTTGACTTGATCAGATGATGAAGCCAAGAGGATTCTCCTCAACAGCGATTAATAGCCCACTACTGAAAAGAGGTTTTGGCCTACTTTACCACGCTGGCCAGACGGGTTGGTACAGGCTCTGTTTTAAGTTTTCTTTCTCTTTACAGCGCTGTTGTCCTGCCTAGTTTTCTCCCTTAGTCTGCTCTTACGAAACCCACAGGATAAAAAGGGGTGGTGCCACTCTGTGTTCTTAATCCGTAACCACACGGAAAGGAGGTTTTAGTTTTGTTTTTTTTTTAAGTTAAATTAAGCATTATTTATTAACTTAAGTTACTAGAATTTTTAGCTTAGTAGTTAAATTATCACTCAATTAAGTTGAGTAATCTAAGTATAGCTATTACCTTCTTTATGTTACGGCTTGCTGTAGGTAATTCACTCAACAGCTATTATTAAGCCACAAAGCCCTTAGAGCATGATTTCCATAAACACATTAATTAAATTATCAATTTCAATAGTTTCTATGGCTATCTATAACAAACTTTTAATTAAAAGAGAATTTATCAATGACGTCTACCTCAAAACAATAATTGAGACTTGATGTTACTTTTTTGTAGCTTGTACTTTTTGTAGTATAAAAGATTTGAAGTCGGTTTTTCATCAATCTTAATCGTTACATAAATAATTGCTACAATGTGAAAATTTCAAATACCTTTTTTTTGTTATATATTTGTATAGACGGATTTTCAAAAAAAAATAATTCGATATGGGTTTTTTCCGAAATGGTCCCATTAAAATTTCATATAGATCTGATGATGAGTTTTGGAGACAGACAACGGAACTCGTCAAAAAATGACAGCGAATCAACATAGTAAGTCTTTAAAGTCGGTTCAACTTTTTTTCAAATTAAAAGGATTTATATTAATAAAGAAATTTTAGACTTAAATTTTAAGCCACTTATATTGCTGTATTTAAATGAAATGTCTATGATAACAATACTGTAATTTGATAGTTATAGCTGTTCTGTCACGGGGTAGGGATATAAAACTTTTCGGTTGCTATCAGTATCAGCTCGAGTTGAGGATCACATGATTCATTATAACAACGTGACTAACTCCCCCCCACACGCCCACCGCTGTAACTCCTGTACACCAGGATTAACAACAGTGACCTACGAACACACCTAGTTATGACACTGACACTGAAGTTAAAACTCTTGGAACCCAAAAAAAAAGCGGCGGTAGCCTAGTGGTTAAGGCGTTGGACTTGCGATCATAGGTCGTGGGTTCAAATCCTGACCAGTACACTACCGACGTGAACCCATTCCTAACACAAGCAATTTAGCTTAGCGGGACTAGTAATTTCGGTTGCTAGTAGACCTTTTAAAAAAAAACGAAAACAAAACCCAATATAATAAATCCACGATGAAAAAATACATGATGAATGACTATTTACCATTACATTTTTTTTGTCTTAGGTTAAATGTTTCTCCGTGGCACATGATTCATCACGCGCAGCAGTGGCTTGTTCCGATCAGCGTATATACTTATACAGTTTGCACAGTGCGCAACTACTTCGTACTTTATCGGTAGCTCATGACTTAGCAGCGCTGGCGATCGCTGATAAGGACCACTTCTTGTTAGCTGCAGGTGAGGAACAGAAAGGTTGCCTTCCATCTTTGAAGGTTCTTCATCTCATTTGATAAGCTAAAATTAAAAAAAAAAACTAAGAAAATGCTATATTAACTATTAAACTTAAATGTATGCTATCGAATTAAGTATGTTTATCTTTAATTTATTACAGGTTTTAAATTAGATATCTAAAACACACACACCTATAAGAGATTTCTTAACTTTAGAGTTTCGTGACAGCCGGCTTAGCCTGCCGCCCGGTACGCCCGTTCAGGAGTGTCACTCGCTGCCACCACTGCGATGGCCAGACCGTGGACACGGCTCTCCACACGCTGGCAGAGTGCCCGGCGTGGGTTGAGCAGAGGCGAGACCTCGTGGCGGCCATCGGAGTGGGAGTTCTCTCGCTCGATAGCTTGATTGCGGCTATCGTGCGGAGCGAGAGTGCGTGGAACTCTGCCGTCTCCTTCTGCGAGCAAGTTATGCTCGCGAAGGAGACGGCAGAGCGGGACCGGGAGAGGTTTAGAACTCTCCCGGCCCGCCAGGCCCGGGCACGGGCCAGGCAGCGCAGGCGACTCAGACGCCGGAGGTCGCAGAACGACCTCCGTCCTCCATAAGCGCAGGCCTGGGGGTGACAGGTGAGGCCATCTGTCACCCTAGCAGAAGCAGGCCGGGGTGGCGGCGAGCGCGTTGCGAAGCGCACTCGCTTCCAGGGAGCATAGGGAACATGGGGTTCCCACACGGAGCGGGGGTCGTCTACTCGTCTGTAGATGACCCGAGGTATGTCGGGGCACCAGGGCCTTCCTTTCTAGGGTATACCTGGTTCCCCGGCTATTAGTACCCGGCGAAGGCGTGCGGTTTTAGTCGGTTCGAGTCCGACATGCCACCGACAGGTGGTATCCGAGGGGATTTCCGCACGGAAAAAAAAAAAAAAAAAAAAAAAAAAAAAAAAAAGGAGTGTCACTCGCAATAGTTTCATTATTTGATTAACTCACATTAGTACTTTTATCTCTTTAGTTTACTAATAGTATAATATAAGAGAAAGACCGTATAATAAAATGTATTTGATGGTTTAAACTACATTTACATATAATTACAAAAATATTTACATTACTGTTTTAATTATAAATTAATTACATAAATTCATTAATATTATTTATTATATTACAAAACTATCTAAACAACATATAATTACATTACTATCGTGATGGAACACTGCAGCAATCACATGATTGGAGAATTCAATTATCCTTTTTCTCAATATTTTTACCAACGAAACGAAAGAAACGAAACAAAATATTCTCCAAAGTATGATGTTAATTGGTTTTATATAATCTAGTCAGCCTTTTATCCAATATTTTAAGCAGAATGGGAACCCGAGATACTACTTTAAAGGTAAAATATACTTAAATTAGGCAATTACCATTTTTATCTAGTTTTACCTACCGTCGTGATCGGTTTTGTGACAACCCTTGCACATTTATACTCGAGACAGTCTTGTAGGTATTTAGTGGTCTATCAAAGGAGTTGACTCGCTATTAGTATTGATTACACATAATAATATGGTATAAGTGTGTGAGTCAATATTTATAATTAATGTATTTTGTTATACCTACGTCTGCAGTCTAACACACATTACTTTTCATTACGTTTTCGCAAACATTTTACCAGTACAACCTTTTGTGTGACATTTTTGCTGACTACTTACTAATTTCAGGCGGAAACAGAGTAACAATATATTCTTTTCACACGGAGGACAACCTGACGAATTTCCGACCCACTAAACAGACCAAAAGGCGCCAGACAAAATCTACAACAAATGTTTCTCTGCTACAGGTAAGATACTAAATTAATTCAATAAAATAAAAATATAAAAACTTAAAATTTCTTCATTTACCAGTTTCTTGTACTCTAAATATGAAAGCATGTGTATATATATTTATGTCTACCATAGTTACTTAATGTTTGTACATAAGTGATTCCTGATTCCTACCAGGCGGAACAGAGTGAACTAATACCCATCAGCTGTCTTGAAGTCTCTCGAGACGGGCAACTAGCAGCTAGTGGTTGTGCTCGTGGCCTTGTTAGGGTCTGGCAGCTATCGACCCATCGTCTTCAGACGACCCTTAACGGACACATAGGGCATGTGACCTGTGTTACATTTTCACCGAATAATTTACTAGTTTTGAGCGGATCTGAAGACAGAACTGTCGTGGTTTGGCAGTTAGCGGATAATTCGCCATCATTAACTTATAAGGTTAGTAAAAATAGGTTAAAAGGTCCTCGCGGTGGTGGAGTGTCACCACCTCTATTCATTCTGTGGGTCTCGTAAGAGCCGACGATGATAATGATTGTGACAATGATTGATTAGGAGTAACAAACAAACAAGTAACTTACAAACAAAACTTTACTAACAAAAAAAATTGATTTTAGAACTAGTTTTAAAAACATATATATATTTTGCACCGAAATAGCAAACGTGAAGCCACGGGCAATGTCCAAACTAAAGTTAAATAAATTTTTTTGGAATAAAATTTAATTCATGTACTATATACCTTAAAAAAAGGAAAAATCTTACTTAAATAACAGTATAAATTCATCAACGTCTTTCTTGGACCCTGGGTCAAGAGCGTCTAAAGGTTACTTTACATACATCACTTTGTCGTATATGCAGGGTCACTCTGCAGCCCTGCAAACACTACTTATGATGTCAGACGGTCGACGAGCAATGTCAGGAGATCGTTCCCGAAATGTTCACGTATGGCTCGTTGACTCCGGAATTGTGCTCCACTCTACAGCTGCACCCACTGCTAGTCTCGACGTCACCCTCAATATGAAGTTTGCCGTAAGTTATATATAAGTTGGAAACTTTATAATATAATAGTATAAAGTTGTACTTTAGTATTCACCACATCTAATTATATTGCGATCATGTTTAAACTTGAAATACGCAAGTTTCTCAACATAGTTTTACGGTACATTATATTAACGTTTGTATTAACATAACTACGTACAATGTATTTCGGTATATGTGAACTACTATTAAGCTAAATAAATATTATTTACGTGAATTTCATAGATTTTCAAAAACACAGGCACTTTGCAATTATTTACTCCCTTAAAAAGAACGTTATTCTCAAACATTCACATGTGAATGTGTTAAAACCCCTCATAAAAGAAATCATTTAGTTATATAAAAATGTATTTTGGTCCCATCAATAGGTATTATCAGATGGTGACAACTCAGTTCGTATCTGGACGTTAGCTGGCGGGGACAGTGGTGAAGAAAAAAGATCGGTCTCTCACGCGGAACGAATAACATGTTTTGCTTTAACTGCTGACTCGCAACATGTAGTAACTGGTTCAATGGACATGTCTTTGAAGGTTTGGAAGTTAGACGGAGGCAAATTGTCGCAGGTTGGTATTACAAAATTATTTTCGTCAACACTGGTATTAAGCTTTAGAAGCTCACTAAATGGATATACTTTCTTGAATTTGTTATTAAAATAATAACAGCTTATATGATTTTGTCCAAGAATTATTAAAAATAAATAAAATGCAGATAATATTTACATGAAAAGATGTAAAATTTTCTTATTGTATATTATATTGCAGCGCTAGCTGTGTCACTACTATCTTAAATATAGGGTTAATTTCGGGAAAGTGGCGTGTTTAAAAAGTAACCAAAATAAACTTCTAGTAATGAAAAAGTAAATATATAATATTGCACACTACTGTTAAAATATTATATATTATTTAATTTATATGTATATATTTTATCAAGGCCCTTGAGCGACTAATATTTTTTTAAATTTAAACTGAAGCCAAATAATTATGATTCCTCTAACTTTTTTTATTCCAGGACGGCATTAATATACTTACAAGATAAACATACATTTACAATTAAATCTTTGATTACCATAAAATTAATTTAGAAAAGGTTTAATAGAAAATTCCGTAGAATAAAATTTTAATTTAATTATCAATCACGATATCTGTATGCATAATACAAGATTAAAAATAAAACTATTACTGTCCTTAAACAGGTCTTGGTCGGCCATTCAGACATAGTCACTTGCGTAGCTGTGTCTATCACTAATAAGACGCAAGTGGTATCAGGATCTTGGGACTGTAATCTCATTGTGTGGGACATCAACACTGGATCAGACTTACACCTCTTGTCCGGTCATCTCGGCAAAGTATCATGCGTCAAAGTCACTGGTGATGGATCTATAGCTGTGTCTAGTGAGTTATCTGATTTAAACACTTATGTATATTATACAATTTTCAAAACAAACATGTAATTTTATTAGAATATATATTATTACTAGCTAACCCGGTAAACGTTATTTTGTCATATAAATTATCAAAGAAATCACAAATCGCGATTAAAAATTATTGGGTAGGGATAGGAGGGTGAAAATACCTTACGACCTATTCCCATACCTACCAACTATACAGAAAAAAAAAACATTTAAATCTGTCGAGCCGTTTTGGGAAGAGTGCGACCACAAACACCAAGATATTAATATCATATCAATATCAGATTTCAAATTAAACTTATACACTTGTTTTCATAGTCACATGAAACATACGAGACCCCTTCTCTATGACTAGAAAGAAGTAATCTCTATAAACCGTTTATCTAAATTCAATTACAGCTCTACAATAAATTATTACTGAAAGTTCACAATTTGATCACAAACATATTTCTATCTGTAACTAATTAATTAAACGCACAACAGTCCTTTCCTTCCGCCATAAGTGAATATTACTGCTTTAGTACTTTTTTTATTTACTAGGTGCTGAAGATAAGACCCTTATTATCTGGGAAACGAAAAGAGGCCTAGCATTGACATCCTTGTCGCTGCATGTGCCACTACTCGGTTTTCAGATTACAAGCGATTGTGCAAGGATCGTTGTACATCTTTTGGATAGGGGTAAGTTGATTAATAGACAGAGTTTTATTGTATCCACAGATGGTATATTATCATTTTTCTCAGTTTATATTCCCCAATTACATCTGTACTTATAAATGTGAAAGTAAGTTTCTTTGTTTGATGCGCTTTCACGTCTAAACAACTAAACCAATTTACATTTACAACCATTTAGAAAGCTACATTATCAACGAGTAATATAGGCTACTTACCATTATAATCTACAAACTTCAAAATCTAAAAACAAAGTAACGGATGTAATTTAATTGGATGATGTTTATTTATAGAAAAGGACGTAACTTTTCAGAAAATATTCTTTCTTACGTTATGAAATCTTTCTTCCCAACTTTTGAGAGTTTGTTCTAGAACCTAGTTCTAGAACCACTGCACCTTTTGAAGAAAATAAAACAAATTTTGAAGTTTATGTTGGATTTAATCGTGGCAGGCTGCCATTACTACGCACGTTGTTAGAGGAGTGCGACCGACGGGTGACAGTCAGACTGAGTGACGGCACCCCTTTTGGGTGAGGCGGGTCAATGCCTATCGGGACAAATTCAATTACGATTGCCTGTTCCCCCGACCATAGGCAAGCATATGAACATCGTTGTGGTTTTCCCAGCCTTCTCTAAACTTGGGGCATCCAAGTGGATCGTTCACCCTTCACTAAAAAAGTATGTTTAGTTGTTGATGATGATTTAACATTAGAGATTCAAATAAGTATTTCAACAATTCAAATGAAGGTCTATATTAACAAGATAAATTAATTAATCAGTAAGTTTTAATATTTATTTAACGAACCAGAACATGGGGGAGAACGGCATTTCTTTAGGGATTTTCAGATGTGATAACTGAGCCAGGTCAGATCCGTACTGTAGTATAATCAATAAATCTTAGACAGCATGAATGTTGAATCCTGAGTGAATATTTCCTAGGTTGCCTTCCAATGATCTGTCTGCACAATACTCCTGCCACGTATGTCAAGATTCCAACTTATGCGGCACCTACCAAGGATGTCGATGGTGAGTCTGTAGTTTATATTACAACAGTGATATATTATAATTATGTAAATACACGGGTATTAACGCGATCATTTAAAGGTGTGATATTTGAAGTCGTATATTTTATATCGCTCAGTGCAACCTGAAGGCCAGTTCTCGTAAGTAAAGTTCGGTCACAATTCACTTCCGATCAACTTCGATCTCACAACTGTCATAAAAAATATTTTCGTAGTAAAATAGTAAAGTATTACTAAGCAGATTACCGATTTAATTTTTGGTTACAATACGATACGTTAAATGTTTAATACTTTACTGCGAAATTACCTGTTATGACAGTTGTGAGATCGAAAATTGATCGGAACCAAATTGACACCGAACTTTTATTACGAGAATTGGCGTTATGCATGCATGCAAATTATGCAATACCTGTTTCATCATTGCATTAATTCCTGTATACGCACATAATGATATGTTGTTTATATTACCTATTTAGAATTTGATACTCCCTACAATTTATATTATGGTCACGATGATTTTAATGTTAACAAGAATATTTAAAGTAGTTATCACTGATTTGCAATAGTGATTATTTCCTGCAAGAGTTATTTCAAACTTTAATTCACAATTTAGCATTATACAATACCTGAACTGAATACCTAAACACCATAAGGTTACTAACAGGAATAAATATTATTTACCGTATAGAACTTCGGCCGTTGGCACCAAAGCGACCGATGAGAAGATTGCTAAAGAAAGAAGTATCTTTAGACACTTATACTTGGCAGAAGAAATATGGGCATCTTACTTCTGCAGCTATGATGGCTCAAGTGGACGAACGGTTAAAGAGGAGGTATAAATAAGGAAAATAAATTATTTTCTTTGTATATTAGCGAATATTAGCGTAAGGAGATAAGTATGTATGCTGCCTGAAATAAAGGCTTTCGGCTCTTGAAAAATCTTGTGAAGACAAAGTTAACTACAAAATTTCTTTAAAATTTGTTTATCAGTAGTAATCCAAGTTAAACGGACATTAATACAAACAGAAGACATTTATAAAAAAATGTACTAATAGTATACAGAACAAATACCAATTATTTGTATTACAATATTTGAATTTTAACTAATTTCAGAAAAAAAATAAGAAACAGGTTATTAAACAAGATGTAAACCTCGTACTTACTGTTTGATCCTGTTTAAATTTGGGTGAAACATTAACGAATGAAAAATACATTTTGTTATAATTTATCATGTCGTAGTCGTTTTGAAGTCGATGATACTATTTTTAAAATTATTCAATCAAATTTCACTTCCTTGCTTAAATTTTAACATAAATTTGGTAGTAAATATATTTTAAACGACACTTGTTATTTTACGGCATTTATTCTTTTAAGGTTCTCGGTATCAGCTTCAATGGAAGAAATTTCGAAAATACAGGAGGCAAAGAACAAAGATTTAGGTTCTCAGGTAATATTATATTCATATTTATTACTACAGATTAGTGATGTAACGAATGTTCGCATTTGCGAATATTCGCATATTTTTTGCCATTCGCATTCGTATTCGCAAGAAACGAAGCGAATGTTTAGCAATTATTTAATTAGCAGTATTTGACTAACAAAAAGGAAATTATAACTATGTGGACTAGATGGATCTGGAAGGATAATACAACTGTTATGATTCATAATTTTTAATTAACTTTTAAGATTCACTTTCAGTGACACAAATTGTAAAATAAGTCCAAACTTCGGTAAAACGGGCTTCACTCATGTTTTTATATCACTTACATTTTGAAATTTACACTTTCTTAAAACCGTCAAATACTAAACTAATCTCAAATCATAACGTCTCAGAAAGTACTTAATGTGACTATATAGCTCCGTTTATTCAACCTAACACAGCTAGGGCTGGCTCGGCTACGTTCGGTTTTAACGTGGCTGCCACGACTTTATTATGGCACATTCGATGACATTTTGCTCGCGCTTTTTTGAAAATCAACATTCGCATTTGCATTCGTATTCGCGAATGTCAGAAATCTTACATTCGTTACATCACTACTACAGATTATGAAATGTCACAAAGTTATGTTACATTCACACTAACTCACATCCCATAAACCAACCTGTTTAAAAAATATATAAACAATGATCATGTTCTTAATCTAATTCATATCGGTTATATTATATCTTATTATAATTCCTTTGTTTTTTTATTAAATATTTTGTCATAATATGACAGGTAAGCTTAGGACCAGAAGAAGCGGCTATAGCGCAATCACAACACTTCGATCAGCTCGAAGCTTTGTGGAACAAGATATCGCCGCCACGACGACGATCTAACAAGGTAAGAATTTTCATTTTTATGTCGAGTCCATATATCATATACATATATCCTTCTACGTCGTACTGCATTTAACTATATTAAACCCACAAAAGACAAAATGAATTTGACGGGCCTATTGGACTATTGGTTATAGATTCTGACTGCTAACATAGAGGGCGTGGGTTCGATTCCCACCCAGAACGAACAATTCTGGGTGGTATTCTGGGTGGTATGAGCACGATCTTTTGTTCTGTGCCTGGGTGTAATTTATCTATAATATGTATATTATATCTAGAAAATTCTTTATAAGTAAGTTTATCAGCAGTCTAGTTATCATAGAGCATATGCGCTTTGCCTAGTTTAGGATCAGACAGCCGTCTGGGAGATGTGCTAAGTCATTACTATTATTTAATATGTACGTAAAACATGTTCACTATGGCTCCACAGTTATTTTAAAACCGATAGTCTACTTACAGAGTCGACTACAAGGTGAAGGTTATATTTTATACTTATGTATATAGTTCTGGAGATATGCGGTTCCCTGGTCCCTAACAACTATCTTTGTTACAGTCCCTTACAAAACAAAGTTCGTTAATCGAAAGTCGTTTTGATTCGTCGGATGAGGAACACACGCCGGTGGAAGAACAAGGTAACTTCCTTTAAGTTTCTTACTTATTACTTACACTATCTTATCTCTTTTGTCATAAACTATGTAACAATCTCGTTTTAGTTGCTTTCATATCTCTGTGGTGTAATTGACGTTCGTTATCACTTCGAACTCCGAGTGAATCATTAGACCGAATCAACATTTTATCATAATCTCATTTTGATTTTTTTATTGCCTCTTGTTTGAAAAATAATATTGCTATAGTTTTTGTTTTTATAAAGTGTCATTGTATATTGTAATTTTTTATCAAAATTTATGCAATTATTTTAAGAATTGTAAAACTGACATTGGAATATATTTAATTGCCAATAGCCTCCTTAGAAGAAATTAGTAACAAAAAGAAATACTAGTGGTGAGAATAATTTCTTAATCGATTGTTAGATTCGCATTTAAAAGTTTTGAAAACACTTCTAATAAGTAAATGTTACTGTGTATTTTATCAAAAACATATATTATATAACAATGCGGTTGCATAATAAATAAAAAGCTATTAATTATACGCTGCATGGCTGTAGTTTTTTTATCGTTTGCAAACCTGAGTCATCACCTTACCGGAGTTCACGGTGAATCGGTACATCAGAGGGTCCAGTGCAAGTTTATTTCACATTAACAAGCTCTCCACCGCGAGTGCGTTCGATGTGGAATAAACTCGATTTTAGTGCGGGCCAATCGCAGCTCCGAACGTGCTCACCGTGACGTGAAGTAGATGTGAAATAAACTCGCACTTGGGCCTCAGAATCAAACCGATTAAAAGCACACGGTGAGTCACGGCGTTCTGTTACCTGTTAGTTTGTCGCAAAAGACTGAGATATACCTTAAGTAGGAAGTAGCCGAGAAACGGCTGGACTAACGTCTCTATTTCTCGCCTTCAAACGTAAAAGTTTAAAACATAAATTAAATTATTAGAGTAATATTTTTTTTAATTGTATAGCTGTCGAGTACGCTTTCACCGTAGAATACTGCCTCGGTGAGGTCGTTGTAGCGTTGCGATTGTTGTGCTAAGGTCTTGGGTTTGATTCCCGGGCCGGACCAAATGTTTGTATGATCTGCAAATTTTTGGGTGTTTTCTATGTATAATATGTATGTATTTACAAAAAAAGTATATAAGTATTCCAGTAGTCAATCTAGCTTTCATAGTGCAAGCTCTGCTTAGTTTGAAACTAGATGTAATTATGTATTAGACGTCCGAAATATTTAAAAGAAATGAAAAAGATAATTTCACTCAAAAGTGTCTTAATTAACCATCAAACTAGATATACTTTGATACAATCCTATTATCTTTTAATTATAAATATCCAATACTGAAGTGATTAACAACAAGTGACCAACAGCTCTTACTCTAGGTTAATAACTTCTGTGCCAACAAACCCTCAGCAACTTTACAGCTATCATAGGCGAAAGCCAGTATGAACTAAGCTATTATTTAAAAAGGCGTCGGACAAAGCCTCTAGCCTCTTCAATCTAGCTTTCATAGTACAAGCTCTGCTTAGTTTGAAACTAGATGTCGTGGTGTCAGATGTCAGAAATGTCCGAGCCTGACAGGAGCGATTTCATGATTACAGACATATATAAGATATTTTTAAATTGGGCATGTCTTGTAGTTTGTCTTGTATTAAAATGTACATTTCTTTTTACAGAGCACATGGTCGAGTAAGGTCTTACTCAACATATTTCTACTATAAATCTATAGTAAGCTGTCTATAATTGAAAATTTCTAAAGGAGCTGGTCTCCTTTGTATATTAATTAATTTTAACGACATTATGTTACATGTGTTTTTAATCTTAACTTCTATTCGCTATACATTTAAAAGAATAAAACGATTGTTTATATTTACGTTTTTAAATACTTTAATTATAAATAATTTGGTTGAGTTTATTCTAGTTATACCTAATAGGTGTACACGGAGGTAAATTGAGCGATGAATCTTCCTGAATCTTGTCATCGTTATGAAGAATATTGTAATTGATATTCCATAACACACACTTAGTTAAATGTTATAATAATCTAAACAGATTTAAGTAAAGTTGCTGTAATTATAGAATCTAAATTAATAATATAATCTAATGAGTATTTATAGCCTGACCTTTAAGTAGCTTATACATAACATCCGCATTGTGATCTATTAGGGTTGTCTTACATAGTTACTGGGCCAGTTCTAATAAGTTGTGATTATTATATCTCTCAACAACAATTACTTGCAACAATTAGTTTTTTCACACGGAAACGCATTGTACAGAACTTAAAAGTTAACGCTGTTATTATCACTTTTAATTCTTAAAAGTCATTGTTGAAAAAAAAATTGCCTAAACTTTTTTCATATTTGCTACAAAGCCTAAGTAAATGGTAAGGTCTGCTGCTAATAATGATCAGAATTAAAATGATTATTATCATTTTTAATGATAATTTCAATACAAATCTATGATTTGTCCAGTTTTCAACTACACTTGAATCAAAATATGTTTCTGATAAAATATTTTCCCTGATAACAAATACGGCCAATGAAAGAAAAAACAGAACTGGCCCTTGTCTGTCGTAGTCTCTGTTATCTATTCACGCTATGAAATTGTGACTGCACATTCTAAAATGTACTTAGTATCTACTCGTATGTAGGTGGTAAATAGCGCTACATAAGTAAGATTAAAAACAAAATAAAAATAGATAAGCTTTGCATTTATTTCTTTAAAATATTTATTGATAAAGTACTAATTCTACTGTTGTTTTGTTTTGAGTACAATTAGTTTTTTTTTATTGTTTTGCTGTACAAGCAACGTAGATTAAGTAACAATGTCTAAAGTAAAAACAATATTAATTATTTTTATTAATTTATTAAATTGTTTTAATAAAAGAAATTATAATTATTAATTTAATTAGAAAAATAATAATATTTGTTTTTTTAATTTGTCTTGTTTGTTGTCTAATAAGTATAATATTAGTTAAAAATGAATAGTTGTAGCTTAAGATACTACTAGTTTATTATATAGGCATAGAAGTAATCTCCCCGATTTATGTATTGAACTAGTGTTTTCCAACTGTGATCCCTTATAAAGACTTCTACATAAGTACACGTAGTATTGAAACAACTTTAATACCCCTTATGAATAGTTAGTATTATTAAACGTCTGTTACTCTATTTATCGAAATATTTTCTAACGAACTAAACTTAAAAAATAAATCTCAAGCCTCTTTTATAATTTTTTACCTACACAACAGAGACAATATTGTTTGTGTCACTTCGTAAACATCTAACGTACCTAAGAGAGAGAGTTATAACCTTTGGTCTAGACACAGATTTTTTTAAATGTAATTCATTCAAAACAGAGTGTAAAATACACTCTGTAACATAAGTGTTATTATGTAACAAAGTGTATTTTACACTCTGTTTTTTGTGAAAACAAATACAAAATATAAAAACATCGTTTCTTCTTTGTTTTTTAATTGCAATCGATTGTGTTTTTTTTTTCAAAATCCACCATGATATTTTAATTTCAATAATAGAATATTGTGTTGATAATGTAGCTTATTCTATAGTTTAATTAATACATCAAGTTTAAGAGTAGCAAAACTTTGTGCTGTGTAGTATTTCTAAAATTTTAATGTTGATATCTACTAGTCGTTACAATGTATGTATAAATTAGAAAATGCAATAATATTTCATAAGTAGATGCACTTACTTGTAGTTGGATAGGCTGAATTCTCTTCAAAATAAAACTTCTGCCGGCAGAGCTATCACAATTTAAGCTTTTTACTGTCACAAACCAGCTAAGAGTATTTCGAAGGAGAGCTCGACACAAAAATACACTTGAGGACGTCAAAATCTGCATAACAATTTAACAACGAAAACACCTGTTTTTTGTAATGTAAAACTACAGACTTGTGCACATTGTATTAAATTGAGAAATACTTTTGTCCTTAAGTGTAAAGAATAATTGCAATAAGTTTTAATACTACATAATAATCGTTAGAAACTGTCACCTTGTTAACTATTTATATAGAGTTTTATATATTTATCGTTTCTTATTCCTCACATATGTGAGTTTTATTTTTGACCTGTCGTGGCATTATATCTGAAAATATATCCTCTGTGTTTCTTAAATGTGTTTTTATTGCTGTTAATATTATTATATTTCCTTTCGATCCTAATCATCCATCATCCACAGCCTTTACTAGTCCATTGCTGGACATAGGCCTCACCACAGAAAGGAGGTTTTGGCCTACTATACCACGCTGGCCAGATGGGTTGGTATAGGGTTTGTTTCAAGTTTCCTTCTCTGTGCAGCGCTGTTATCCTGCGTAGTTTCTCCTTCAGTCGGCTTTTACGACACCCGCTTGATGACTAGGGGAGGTGACACTATGTATTCTTATCCGTCACTGGTAGTAGTCAGTGGTAGTTTACTCGTATGCGACTGTTGCGAGGTCTCGGGTTTGATTCCCGGGTCGGACCAAATGTTTGTATGATGATGATATGATATTTGTTTCGGAGTTTGGGTGTTTTCTATGTATAATATGTATGTATTTTCAAAAAATCAGTCAACCTAGCTTTCATAGTACAAGCTCTGCTTAGTTTGAAACTAGATGACGTTGTATCAGGTGTCCGAAATATTATTATTATTATTATAAGAGACAAGTGCTTCATTTTGTGTAATCCCGAAAATATCCCGATAGTGATGGGTAAGACAACCGAACACTGTACTACCTATTCAACGGGAGAGGTAAGTTCAATGTCCCCTGAGAATTTCAATATTTTATAACATTGATATATTTTTAATGCGAATTCAAATCTGTACATAAACTAATCTAATCAATCTGGTAAACATGTATAATACACAACTATTCATATGCCTGTGTATTACACATTTATCTCTTCATTGCGTGATTATCTAAATCCAAACTAAGTATTGTTAGCATATTGACCAGAAACAGAAAAACTTAAGTTTATGTATCATGGTTTTTTTTTCAGAAAAACGCGAATGTGCGAACAGAATTAACCATTTCAATATTTCTTTATTAAATTATTTAAACTGATTAAGAATAGAACCCGTAGCCCAATGTAATTGCACTTAAATGCTGGATCGCCATTTCACAAATGATTACTCAATTTTAGCACACTAATCTTATCGCTTTTAGATAATAACCCTTATCGTATCGGTTTTAATGTATCCCTTTATTTAGTTAATTTCAAGAGGTCAAAGAAGACAGTTTCATTATAAAATTAGTGTAAAAATGTTATGAAAGTCGTTAAAATCATTTCTGAAAAAACCCTTATGTTCATAAATAAAGCTACCCTAGGGTAATGATAAAATAATAAGTGGCAATTATCTGAATAGATAAACAAAAAACTAATTATGCTGTGACGTGTTTTCGTGACAATCAAAATCATGTATAATTTAATACATAATTTTAAGAAATCCGTGAAAAAATAAGATGAATGGTTTAAATTCTGTGTTATTTGTGCACGAACTAGTGGGCAATAATATCTACGAATCAGAATACACAACATGGAGCACTGTCATTTTCATATTAAGTACCATTGGGATGGTACTATCCTCGTTGGCCCTGGTACTACTCATCTTGACTGCCGTGCTGTTCGTCGAATGGAGGTCGAGCTACAAAAATCAGCTGCTCATACAGTTCATGGCGGCCAGATACATTTACACATTCATAAGATACTTACAGGATATCCAAAACAAGTTTAATATCCTAGCCGTGATTTATGGGTGGGTTACATTTAACGCTTTTGTGATCATTTATACAGAAATGGCACTCATCGTCTGGATGTTTCTTTTCAGTCGACAAATGTACATAAGTCTTGTTAAAGTGTTTGATACTCAAATCGCGAGTATTTGGAAAATATCAATATGGGGATGGATTTCACCGGTTTTTGTTTCACTTCTCTTTTATTTATTACATCATTTGATAAAAGAAAATAATAACATTCTTTTTTGTTCTCTGCTAATTACTATTAAGTGGCCAATAATATTTGTCAATGCATTTCTTTTAATATCAACTCTAATATCTGTGTTATCCAATAAAAAAAAGGCTAGAAATAATGTCAAAATTGTTGTAGTAATGATGTTTATGATTTTCATATTCTGTTTTCAACAATTGTTTAAGGATATTTTCACGTTAATTCACATAGTGACGGGAGAGTTCAATATTATAGCTTTGGCACTAATAAACAGTAATTTACTAACTTTGTACCAATGTGCATTTTCTATATTATTCTGGTTGTTTGGAAATGAGAATACGCGAAAATTATGGAAATTTCAGAGTAAAGAAGTTGTGAAGAAACCGGCATTAAGCGTACGATACAGCACTTGATAATATAATAAGAACAAGTAAAGACTAAAGGAAATTTCTAGAAATGCTTAAGAGTCAACTATTTCCTAAGAAAGCCATCAGAGTACAGCTAAGTAATAGTAGTTTATCATTTCACGAATAATCACCGATATTACAGAAGTCGATTATAAGTAGTAATACGACTGTAAAAACAAGAAATGTTTTTTTTAATATATAGAAATTAAATTTCTGATGGATACATTGACGTGAAAATCATCCCTTGTATTATTGCTTCTTTTATGATTAATTTTAGCAAAACAGTAATGTGTATTGCACCACCCACTTGTTATCACTATTAGACTATCTTTTCTTATTCT